GAGAGATGTGTATTGAGCTGCTATGTGAGCACCAGGGTGTGATGAGGCTAAATTTTTTGGGCGGTAGAAAGCTCGTTAGCTCGTCAAAACCAAAAATCCATAAATTAGCCTCAGCATCGTATAAACCGCAGGGTTCAAAGCATGTGGAAAAAGTTGTGGTTTATAGTTCGGAAATTACCTGTTCGATGTGTGATGGGTCAAACGCAGAAAACACATTTCATCGTGATGACAACACAATACTTTACTTTTCTTATGGGATGTTTTGCCAGCAGTTTAAGGATATTGGGGATGGTGTAGGTTAGTGTACAGTATATAGTCAAAAACATGTGCAATACATTTTTAAGGCCAAAAACTCACTGGCACATGGACAGGTTGGCCAAAATCACTGCCTTATGAAAATGTATACAATTGAGAAAATATAAATAAGGCATGCGTTTGGCAACATTAAACACACTTTTATCATTCAATGAAAGTTTGTTTTGTTTTAAGCCTTGGTTTGAAAATCATTATTACTTTCAACTTTATAAACTTTAATGTTTGATCGTACCACTGTTGCCATTCATTTACAAAGTGTTTATTCTGTTAATGAATTGTTGTAATTTACTGAGTTGCAGATAAACACTTTTGTAAGTTATTTTCAGTCTACAATTGATGCACTGAATGAACGTTTCTGTTTCATGCTAATAGTATTTAGTCATACTGTTGCTACTTCCTTTGAGATTATTGTCCACCAGACAGTGAGAAAACTTCATGCTATCGGCGAGACTTTGGAATTTGTTTGTCTTATACCATTCCAGCTCCTGGTGAAGTTTTTTTGGGAAAACTGAAGATCTATATGGTTTTATTAGTGATCAAAGATGGTGATGTAGAGATTTTCACTTCACGGCAAGCTGAAAAGTGAAGTTGCAGCATTTAAGTGTGGTCATTTACAATTGAGAAACTGTTGCCCTTTTGTGTTTACGACATCAGAAAGACAAAGAACAAATGTCTTATGTGTTTAAAGAGGTTTTTTTTTTTTTTACTTAAAAACAAAGCAACTGGGCTTTTATTTTGTAGTGAACAATGTTTAGTTTCTACCCAAAAAGTTTTCCCATTTCAGAACTTGAGTGTGGAGTTCCAAGTTTTAAATTGTGTGAGATGCTTCTTTATGTGGTTAAATTCATATGCAGATTAATCTCACTCCCCTCCAACTGGAGAAATGTTACGGTCTTTGTTTGCCTGGCTCCCAGAAGAGATGCTTTGGACACCTGCATGAAGGTGTGAATTTGAGGGGAAATGAGTGTTTAACTGACTCAATGCTCCATTGTTAGTTTTAGAACGCTGAAGATGTTTCAACATTTTTATCTGTACCGCTGCTTGAGTGTAACTTGGACTTTGGCAGTAGCAGTGTAGCTCAAAACTGACATAAAACCAGTGTTTAAATGAGCATCCATTAGTAACCAAAATCCTTTTTACTTTCCTTACAATTTTCATTCGGGTTTGTCATTCAGTTTTCATACGTTTACACCCACTATGCCCTGTTGCTCTTTTTATTTTCCTCTTTATCTCCAGTTACCATCTTCCCTTGTATCCCTCATGCTGATCTCCTCTGCAGTTAGCTCCTTAATGGAGACAAGTTTTATGGCAGACAGTAAATGCATCTGTGGGGTCCCTCATTCCTCTGTGAGAGAAATTAGTGCAGAATGAATTACACTGGCTTTCAGCACCGGTGCTGTGCTAAGGTTGACATTTGATGGTGTAATTAGCCGTGGATACAAGTTTAATCACTCTGGCTGATTTTGTGCCTCTTTGTGTGCATATGTGTGGATATGAGCATGCCCTAGATCATATTGCTTGAATGGCAATAGCGGCCCCTAATTTCCTGACTAGTAAGCTGCCAGAAGCTGTTTTCTTTGTAAATTCTGCTGTATGCGTTGCTGTCTTCTCAGTAGATGCCAAAGCAACGCCGAGGAAAAAAAAAAAAGTTAATGAGTGTTATGGGGGTCAGAGCTCACTGCAGGTCTAATTGTCAATCCGAAATTTTGCACATGCTCAACAAATGTCTAACAGCTATAAAATGACATAAATTTCCGACGTGCAATTAAAAACTAAATACAAAGCAAAACATTTTTTTATGCTAGATCTTAGCCCCCTGTCAAAAGGACCTCCCTTGCAGAGGGCTAAATTCGAACAAATGTCTCTCCATTTCAATGGAGAGCAGAGGCCCCATTGTGTGGCAGGCAGGGGCACGCTAACAGCTATCAGCATGCTATGTATCATGGCCATAAGGAGAGTATAGTTAGATCACAAATTCTCAACTTCAAGACCTCACTATGATGCAGTTTTGGAAAATTAAAAGGTTTTAGACACACATGTACACGTATAGTACCTGTGCTTGAAATAAACTTCTATTAAAATAGAGTTTTGATTAAAAAGGCACACTGAGATGTATTCAGGATACTTATTCTATTTAATAGCAATATACTAAAGCTCTTAAGAGAGCTTTTTCATTTAGGAAAATTAAACATACGTAACATCTGTACAACTAGAACAGTGCTGACAAGTTTCACTAAAGTTGTGTGGTTTAAATATGTTTTACGTAAAAACTATAATTAACAATGTTTTAGTAGGACATAAGTCAAACTGTTAGGCCTATTTGCATTCCCAGCTGCAATTAGGTGCTCTTCTAGTTGCATTTTAAAGCAACACCCTTCTTGGCCATTGAGCAAGAATGACTTTTTTTTTATATGTTTTAATTTCTATAATTGCTCCCACCAGTCCAGACTTTATTTCCATGTCTCAGAATCATGAAAATAAAGGCTCGGATGTCTTAAGTGTTGGGGGATCTGGGTTGTTCGTTTCCTGTCCTCTATATGGGAATAGTCACAAAGGTTTGGTGATATTCTTGGGAATTCTCAACCACAAAGCTTCCCAGAAGAACAGAGGTGTTTCATCTTCGGGAAGTATATATGATCGCTGTGATTGTTCTGTCATTTTAACTGGCAAAAGAGTGCACTGCAGCCGAAGAGGCATTTACAAGGGCACTTTGTGAAAACAGAATTTATAGGAATACACTTTGCAGATTTACTGTCTTAACAACCCAATTTAAAGAGCAAAAATCAAAAACAAAAAAAAAACATTTTTTTTTTATTTCAGTTGAAGCAGTTAATTTAGTTTTTTTTTTTTTTTTTTTAGACAAAAGGAATCCATGCTTAAATGATGGATTTACTCGATTTCTGCAGTGCATCCACGGCTGCGTGCGCACACTGTGAGCACTGTATCCATATATTATACAAGCTATAATTTTCTACAGCTTTGTTTGGATTATCAAGACAGAGTGAATCACTGAGGTCTTATTAAAATTATAGACTGTGTGTTTTTTAGTGTAACACACCGCATTTGTCCTGTATACACACGCAGCATTCACACAAAGGAAGGTGGGCCACACCTGCATGTGATTTTCAGGGGATCACATGTTGTCTCAATCACTGGACAGTGACAAGCTGCACGAGATTTATCGTTGCGATGAAAACTTGTTCCAGTGCCAGCCCAGTGTATCACTTTCCTCCTCTGACATGTACATGTTTAAGAAGCTTTGTGCGCCATAAAAGCTCCACTCCATTAATGGGCGTGAAGTTCCCTTTGACACAGCCTGCGTGTGCATGTGCGCTTGTGTTTATGAGTGTTGCCAGTTCAAATGACCATCTGTGAATAACTGGATCTATAAATGAGCATTTGACAGAGCTTAGAAATGGTTTGGCCTTGAATGACTTTTATGAGTTTGTCAACATCGCAAAATGTAATTTATTTTTAGGATTGTTTAAGTTTTTTTTTTTTTTTTGTAAGGTTTAAGACTTTAGCCTTGTGGTTTTTTATTATTATT